CCACCTCGGAAGAGCAGAGCTCCCTGCCAAAGCCCCCAGAACCTGCTCATCTTTCTGCACCTGCCCAGGAGTCAGCAGCATCCTCAGAGCAACCGGCTGTTACAGAGATCAAAGAGGTGGAGAGCAAAGCCCAGGGCAGGACAGAGACTCTGAAAGAGGAAGGACCAACAGATCTACGAGTCTTTGAGCTGAATTCAGATAGTGGGAAATCCACTCCTTCCAACAATGGCAAGAAAGGTGCGTATATAGGGCCAGCACAGGGCTTGGAAACCTTCTGCTGGGGGTGGCAGCTTTTCGGGCAAGGGTTCTGATTTTAAGATGATGGGGAGGAGAAAGGGGATTTTGCCAAAATCACCCAGGGAGGTTAGAGCCAAGATTGTTTAATGACCAAAACTAAAGTGGAAGCAAATCCTTATGCTTTTGGGCAGGGTCAAGTGCGTCACATCAAATGGTGTCAATCTGCTCTGCGCAGGTGGCTGGCCCGGTGCCACGGCTGGCTCTGGCCTGAGCTGTCTCCTGTGCCCCCTCCTTGTGCTCCCTCAGGAGCTCCTCAAGGACCCTTACTAGGGACACATTGCAGCTCTGGCTGATGCTATTTACAGACCTTTCATTACAGGGGATTCTGCCTTCAGCAGAGCCTGCTGCAGGACCCCCAGAATAATGGTTATGTTGATTATAGGATTATAAAGCCACTGGAAGCAACCCAAGCTCCAGCAAGGTGGCCAAGTATCATGAACTGAGTCTGTGAACAGAATGAAATTAGACAAGAAATCAGAAGTCTTCTAGCTGTGCAGGGTAGGCCTTTGATCCCTGGCCTGCTGGTTGCCAGGGCAAGGCTGTGGGCTGTGCAGGAAATGTGGTGTTGCCTTCCCTCTGCATGTTGCCCCTAGGAGTGTCCCTGCTGCTCCTTTGCCTAAGGAGGTGGTTCCTTCTGCTGGGAACTGACAGTCCCCATAGCCAAGTCACCGCTGTTACTCCTTATCTGTTGTGTTTTCTGTGTGACTGAAATGTGACACATTCTAATTCTCCCAGGGCAGAGGAGGATGTATTTAAGCCTTCACCTCTCCCACTTGTTCTGAACCAGCTGCGAGGGAGGTGCAGTTCAGTCCATCCTGTTTCTGTTAGCGAGCTGACAGCCTGCTCTTGGGAACAGGGGAAGTTTTCTCTCCTGGGGCAGGCTGTGGTAGATGCGAGCCTTGTGAATGCCAGGGCTTTGTGAGCCTGCTTGGGCAGCAGTGTGCTTTGGCCAGAGTATCTGGCGAGCATGCACGACTCTGATGGCTCAGTTGTCATGTTTGTGGTTACAGGCTCCAGCACTGATATCAGTGAGGACTGGGAAAAGGACTTTGATTTGGACATGACTGAAGAGGAGGTGCAGCTGGCGCTCTCAAAGGTGGAAGTGTCTGGGGAGGTGAGTTGAGGGGAGGTGCTCGCTCAAATAAGCAAGAAGCTTGTTTCCACAAACCATCAGCAACTCCCTGGGGTGATGCTGCATGATCTCTGCTGTTGCTGGGTGATTCCCCTGGGAGGTGGAGAGAGACTGCAGTGCCTCAGAGCAAGAGGGCAAAGAAATCCCTCGGTTTGAGCTCCACTTCCAGCCCCGGTGCTGGAGCCAAGGCTGTGCATCACATTGCAGCGGGATGTGGCTGCTGCTGGCGTGGAAGGGCAGTGAGGCAGCAGGCAGCTGGAGCAGCTTGCGGGAGGTTTCTCAAAGGTGTGACTCGCTCTTTGAGGGCACAGGGCTTAGCTTGGGATCTTGCTGTGGGAGTCCTGGCTGTCAGCTGCAGCAGAGAGTGGCTGCCTGGATGTGCTTAAAGAGGGATGAGTGTGCAAGTTCCCCAAGGGGAACAGAGCAAGCAAATCCTTGTTGTGAGGGTGTGGGAGCGTGAGAATATGTCAGGCTTTGTGCTGACTCAGGTGCCCTGGTCAGGAGGATCTGTTGACAGATGGCTGTTGGGTTACAGAAACAAACTGAGGGGTGTTACTCTTGTTTGCAGCTGGAAGATGAAGAGTGGGAAGACTGGGAATAAAGCCACTGCTTCCAGTGTGTGTCACAGGCTCATTTCCACCATCGAATGTGAATTAAATCACGGACTGGCTGTTCCTTTGTGTGTAACTGTGCTGGGGATTGCAGTTCCAGGCTGGAGGAGTTTCATTCCTGCTAAATCCTGTGGGCAACTCACATGACCCCTTCAGACCTGGAGGAGGAGGAAGCAGTTCACTCGTACACTTAGCTGCTAGGGAGCCCATCTTCTCAGTAGGTCCTAGAGACTGGCCGAGCCAAAACTGACTGCCCCAAAAGTGTCGGGCAGAGGCAGATGTGATGCAGTGAGGGGACCCCGGGGCAAGCTGGGCACTTAGACACCTGGCAGGATTGCTCGGTGCCACCAGACTGCCAGCTGGCTGATTGTTTGCTTGTGTGTGCATGTGTAATCTACAGTACAGCAGTTCGGAGGCTCTGGGATGCAAGCTGTGCCTGCTCACTCGCTGCCCTGCACTGCTGGCCAGGCCATCCCTGGAGAAAGCCCTGTGTAGGGAGTGTCTGGGGGCTGGAGGTGCTGCAGTAGAAGCCCCTTCTGCTGTGCCACTTGTTGCTGCAAAGAAAAGGCATGTGGCTTGTGGCTTTGACCCAAAGCTGGGACATGCTGGAAGGAGCCAAACTCCCTGCCAAACCCTGAGCTTCTGCCTGGCTTCTCATCTCGGAGGCATTTTCTAATGGAAACTCCCATTTCCATCTGCAAGAGCAGCAGCTCCTCTAAGAGCCACGGCCTGCTGCTTCCCCCTTTGCAGCCACACTACCTTCTTCTACTGGGTTTTGTGTACTTCTAGTTAAGTTCTCCAAGCAATGTACCTGTGGCTTGCTCTTACTTGAGCCCTTCGGGGCAGGCAGTGATTTGGGTCACGCTGGGAGCAGAACCTCTCTGTTGTGGTGCCCAGTTCAGCCCTTGCAAAGCCCCAGTCTGGCCCAGTGACCACTTTAACCCCCACCTGGGCACCGAGGCTTGGCCCTTCCCTCTCCCAGCCTGGGGGGAGGCAGAAGCGCCCAGGCACGGGTGGTACGTGTTGGCTCAGGCTGTGTCTGTCCTCTCTGGGTCCCCTCGTGTCCCACCCGTGCCAGGCCTCAGGGTCTCCAGCTTTGCTGTGCTCACTTGGGCTCCTTCACTTAACACCCCCCGGAACCGCTTGCAGTGCTTCCTTTGGACCCACGGCCTCCCTTTTTGGGGCAGTTCCCTTCTAATGTCATGAGACACTCCTCAGTGGATGTTGCTAATATACAGTTATCCTAAAGGGACAGAGCCCTGGCTGCTGTCTCTGGCCTTTTGGTTGGTGGTTTTATATGTGCTACCTTTGTCCTCTTGCCCTTTCCAGGGCTGCTTTGTTGGAGCTGTGGGTTTCCTTCTGGTTTTGGATAGCGTTAACCTAGGTGCATTTGGAAGAGTTGGGGTTTTGTTTCATTTGTTTGTTTTTTGTTTTTTGTTTTTTTTTTCCCCTCTTTGAGGAGATTTTCAGATGCAGCTGCCCACACAAGAGCATTGGTGGCAGCGGTGAGTTCAGGCGCTTACATGAGAGCATGTTTGTCCTGCAAAACCCACGAGGGCCGGGGACTGAGCTACAGCTCACCTCCCACTCACTGTGCAGTGGGCCCAGCAGAGCCTCTGAAATGTGCTCCAGGTTCACCCTGTCCTGGGCTGAAATTTAGCTGTACCAGGAAATCCTACTGTGGGCATGTGACACTAGTGGGGGTGTCAGGGCGGGGGGCTGGGGGCTGTGTTCCCCTAGGGTTTGATGTTCTGAGTCGGGCTGGAGAGCTCTCATCTGTGTCACTTTTTTTTTTTCCTTTAGTCAAATTAACCGTTTGGTTGTCTGTGCAATATTCTCTGTTCTGAACTATTCCACATCTCCCTGAGCCTTTTCTAGCTGGGGTGAAAACCAGGAACAATTCTAACAGCTGGTAGTTTTGTAACGATGACTTTCTCCAAACCTTTTACAGACTTGCAGTTAACAGCAATTAAAGAAATTCTACAGAGTCTCTGCCTGTGTTGGGTGTTCTCATTTCCTTTGCATGCAGGATGGGGATGGCTGCCTCAAAAGGGGTCTGTGTGTCATCTGCTTTAAATTTCCCTTTCCTCGTGCCTGCCTTGGGAGGTTTTTTAACTGGGGAAGTTGGGCCCGGGCTGTTTGGAAGTCGTGTCATACCAGACAATGCCGTGCCGTGCCCAATGTCCCCACCGCCACATCCATCCCCATGGGAGGGAGCGGCAGGCCTCGCAGCACCCGGTGGCCCCCGTGCCGGCTGCAGCCAGCTCTGGGGCTGCCAAGGACACGGATTGGTGACAGCTTTTATAATAAAAGGACATCTTAGAGAGTTCTGGTGCTCAAAACCCATGTGTGGTGTCGGCCATGGAGGGCTGTGGGGTGAGAGGGGACATGGTGTGAAGGGAGGAAATATGAGGGACAGGACCTGAGTGATGGGGCATGAGGGGACAGAGTGTGAGGGGTTGGGACAAAAGTGATGGGGCATGAGGGGACAGGGTGTGAGGGGTTGGGACAAAAGTGATGGGGCATGAGGGGACAGAGTGTGAGGGGTTGGGACAAAAGTGATGGGGCATGAGGGGACAGGGTGTGAGGGGTTGGGACAAAAGTGATGGGGCATGAGGGGACAGGATGGGACATGGGGGATAGGACATGAGCGATGGGACGTGAGGGCACAGGGTGTGAAGGGATGGGATGTGAGGGGATGGGGCACAAGGGGATGGGACCCGAGTGGTGGGACACAAGGGGACAGGGTGTGAGGGGATGGGACATGGGGGACAGGACACGAGTGAGGGGACTTGATGGGGCACAAGGGGATGGGACAAGAGTGGCGGGACCCGGGTGGCCAGGTCCGCCCCGCCCGCTGGGGGCGCCCGAGCACCGTGGGCCCGGCGGGAGGGAGCGGCCCCGCCCCTGCCTCCTGAAGGGGCGGGGCGCCCGCCGCGCGGAGGAGGTTTGTCCTGTCCCGGCCGCCGTCCGCTCCCCTCGCCCTCCCTCTCTCCGGGGCCGCCATATTGTGGCCGCCGCAGCTCGGGAGTCGCCGCCTGAGGAGCCGCGATGGGTGAGAGCGGGCGCGGTGCCGCCGGCCGGGGCGTCCCGGCAGCGGACGGGGGTGTGCGAGGAGACGGGAGGAGAAGCCGCCTCGCCGACCGGGGGTGGGGGGGGACGGGACACACACACACACACACAGCCCGTCCCGGTGCCGCCCGCGCCCCTCACCGAGGCTCCGGCCGCATCCCCTCAGCGGCGGCGGGGCGGGGGGCTGCGGGGCTGCGGGCCCGGCCGCCGCCGCTGCTGAGTCATCCCTCCGCCGGCCCTGGCACGGTGGTGCCTTCCTCGGGAAGGGCCCGCGGAGCCCGTTGGCGGCGGAGCCGGGACTCGGGGGGACCCTGCGGCGGGGGCGCTCAGCCCGGGGCGAGCGGCCAGGCCGCGGGAACAGGGGTGGTGTTGCTCTCCCCAAGCAGCGCTAATAGCGACTGGGCGGGCAAGAGCTCAGTCTTTGGGCTGCACCGGGGTGGAGTGAGGGGAGCGGCGGGGGTGGTTTAGCGCTGGGATGTTCTGGTTCTGGGGTAGCGGGGACTGTTTCTGCTCTGCAGACACCAAGGAAAAAGTCTTCAGAGGCAGCGGTGGCAGAAAGGAGCTGCTGCGATTGAAGCTGCATCAGAGTGTGGCGTACTGTCAGATCTCTGATTTTCGGTCCTAAACTCTTACAAACTTCAGGATTTAAATGAACCAAGCTCAAGTGAGGTCCTGCTAAACTGCTCCCTGTTCTGATAACTGAGTGGGGCCTTGGCTGTTGTAGCTTTCACAAAATAAAACTTGAGCAGCAGTGTCAACATAAGCTTAGGGAGGTGGTCGCTGTGCAGCATGTCACCGTGGACGTTACAAGCAAATATGTCTTCTGACACTGTGTGGGAAAGGAGTGTCTGGAGGAGTTTGTTTGCATCTTTCTAAGCAATACCATTAAATGTACTTAAAGGTTCAGAGAAGTAGCAGATTGCTCTTTCTTAGCTGCAAATAAATTGTAACTGAATGCTGTACTTCAAAAGGTACTTTAATAACAGCAGATGTTTTTTGTCACTTTTGATGTAGCCTGAAATTGAAGATCCCTACTCAGGAAGCAGAGATGTCTTTTTCTCGAGGCTTCAAGTAGTAAGACAGGGTTTGGGTGGATGAGATGAATGGGAAAGCCTGTAGCAGGCGTATTCTCTATAAAGCAAAGTTAGGATCCTCTGGGAAGTAAGGATTAAGGTCTTACCAATCTTCACTTGCAATACTGTCTTTTAACTGGACTTGACTTAGGAAGTCTTAAAAATGCTCTTTGGGGTGGGATGCTGATCAATCAAAATGATCTCATCAAGAAACTCTCCTGCTGTCTTCAAACCCTTCCTGTGATGTTCAAGGAAAAGTTAGTGGCTACAGGTCTGTGTATGCAATGGCTGCAGCACCTCCCAGTCTAGAACAGCTTTTTAAACTTAATTTATAGCTTGAGATGTAAAATCTTGACTGGCAACTTTGAGTAGAAAATTGTCCTCGGGCCTGTTGGTGAATGTCTGAAAACTGCCTGTGTTGGGGACGTTCATGCAAAGGAGCTTCCCATCCTTCCCCACCACTGCCTCCCCATTTCTTCTTGGAGTTTGAAGCAGACATTTTTCTGGCAGCGCAAATTTAATATTCCCCTCATTTGAATTATCCCAATGTAACTTTTTCTTAACTTCTTTAACAAATTAAGACTGCTTTTTCATTGCTTTAACAGGACTAAATGGTGGTGGCATAATGTTGTTACCTCTTGTATGGTGCAGGTTGAGGCTGCTGTAGTGTTTGTAAGCAGTTGGGATATTGGTTTTGCCTGTGGTGTTAGAGATGCTCATCAGTTCGTTCTTCGTTTGCTATGTAAATGACACGTTTAAATGGCTTTCTAGTGCTATTTAGCCTGTGGAGCAGTATGTAATGCTCAATTCTTAATAAAACTTCTGTGGCTGATTAATTTAACTTGTTATTTGGCTGGTTTTCTTTGTTTGCTTGTGTTCAGGAGAACAAACATGAACTTTGTAAAGGGCAGCTTGATCATTAAAATAGTGTGATAGTGAAAGTACTAATTCCTTCAGCCTTTCAGCTTTAAGCTCTTGTGTTTAGCGAGTTTCAGATAAACTCAAATTTGCTTAGCAAATCAGACAGTACTATTTGTTTCTGGAGCAAAGCACATGTTGAGAAGGATGAGCTTATTGGAATTTTTTAGCCCTCTTTAATGTTCTCTGACTATTTCTCATTGTTTTTAACCTCCTGTAACTCTTGTGGGTCATGTTTGAGTTGACTTAGTTGAAGAGTTAATCCCTGTTTTGAGAACTGTCACAAAGGACTCTCTGAGCACAGGTGACAGACTGTTGTACTTGATCAGTCCACTCGTAAGGAAATCTGAATGTCTCAGAATATGTAAATCAGGTTGAAGAGGACTGAAAGCCCCCAAACGTCAGATTTTTGGGGGGATGGAAAGATCAGGAGGAGGTAGAGTTGAAATTAATGTGTATTGAAAACTGGACTGAGGAGTAAGTGGGTGGTTCTTACATCAGGGCATGGATAGTCTGAAAGGAATCCTAATCTTAGACTGACCCTAGTGAAGGACAAGTATACTGTAGGACTGTTAATTTTCCCCAAAGAGGATTTTTGCTTTTCCCTTCCCCCTCCACAGCCAGCACCATCAGTGAAGCTGTTGCACATTCCAGTAGTGATGTCGCATCACTGGCTCTTGGTAGCTAAAACCGAAGGGAACGAGCCAATGGTGGCTGCTACACCAGACGGCCAAATAGCTGCGTGGATAAGCGTTTTACTAGCACAGCATGTACTGTGTGCAGGGTGCCCGGCCAGGGCACGGAGGCAGGCTGGGTTTAAGACAGCTCTGAAAGAGAACTGGCTCTGCGTGTGCTTATTTGTAGTAAACACTCAAATAATCTGCGTGAGAATGTAAAAGCGGCAGAGCAAACATGCAAAACAGATCTGCACAGTGACACGACGGCAGAATTTGGCCACTTTTCTAGAGTTTAACAGCAGCTGGGGTAATTCCAGGGCTGTAGAGGAAAAGCCTTGAGCTGCTGCTTGTTTGACAGGACTTCTATGTAGTTGTTCTCCTCTAAGCACAACTGTTTAGCTTTCTTTTCCCTCTGTTCTTAAGAATTGACTGAAGGCACATCTACAGAGTGCTGTAAAATGTATTACATAGCTGAGTTTCAGAAGAATTTTTGTTTCTGTTCTCAAAATTAAGCAAATCTTTCACATGTGGGAGATAGAAGGAACAAAATTCACATAAGCACTGCTGATTGTAAAGTGGCACTTTTTACATTTACAGGGAAACCAGCAATTAATGCTGCTATACTTGACTAGATGGAGAGAAACTTCAGATTTTGAAACACTTCAGAAATGTCTAACACTGTTTTGTTGTCTGCCTTGAATGGGTTTTCTGTTCACTTGAAGCAGCAGCTTTGGTGATAGTTTGACAAAGTAAGAGTCAATGAGAGGATGGAGGTAGAAATGGCCAGAGATTTCTTTTTCAGTTGTAAGTAGGTGATAGCAATAAGAAACTGTTCAAAACTGACATGCCGTACCTAAATGCTGAATCAAGTTTCTAGGGTTCACTGTCAGCATGTTCTCATGAGCTGTATTGAGTAGCTGACTACAGAATTAACAGAAGTTTGAGTTACAAATGTTAACTATTAAGGTTTCTGGAGAAATACAGGATCATGAAGCAATGACATGTAGTCAGCCTAATGTCTGCTGTCCACTTTTGACTCCTGTGTGCAGCCTCAGAAGACGATGGGCATAATCTTACAGTCCCCTCCTCCCCAGATCCAAAAATATCACAAATGCTTTGATTGTTTTTTTTTTAAAAGAAATGCCTCTGTAACTGTAGTTGGAGATAGCTTGAATATCTCGTGTAGTTTTTAACATTGTCAGGGGAGATGACTAGAGTCTTAAACCTCTGATTTAGCACTGTTATCTTGTTCTCCTAAAGGTAAGGTTCATTTTCTTTATGCGATCCAAACTGTTCTGATGTCTACTACTACTAAATCAGTGTACTTCAACTGTCTTCTCTTCCTGGAGGGTATTGTGTTGAAACCACAGGCATTTTGTTGAACTTGGACCCTGCAGAGAAAGACACCTACCAACCTTACTGTCCTGGTGACCATTGCGAAAGTTCTGTGTTTCGTTTTCAGTGTTTGAACCTCCTGGGCACCTCAGAGTTGGGTGATGACTTGTGTGATCTCTATCTCCCTCCAGTTTGGTCAGTCTGAGAAAATTCAAGGAGACCAAGGTCAGCAAAGAGCAGTAATAGTTCCTGTGCTGCTGGCAGATTTTTCTTTGCAGTAGAAGTGTGTTGCTGTAGGAATATGGATTTAGCTCAGAGCCTGTGCAAATGGGGAGGCAGGAGGGGATTGGAGGTTCTTCTGTGTTTTCAGATATATGAAATGGAAAAACTTCCTGCTGGGTAGGAGATATCTAAAGGATATAGTCTGTAAAGTTTGTCAAGTGAAACTTAGTAGTTCACTGAATGTATTTTGCTACTCCTTGTCAAAATTAGGGGGGGTTAATTGTAACTGGCCAAGGTTGTACTATGACAGGGGAAACTTAGGTTGGAAGGGGCCTTTGGAGGTCAACTGGCCCAGTGCTCACTCAGACCTGGGAAGCTTTGAAATGTACCCAGTGGGCACTAATTGGCAGATCGGTGCTGATGGAATTCATCAAGTGTATTCATTTACACTTGCATAATTCTACTACCCTTCTCCACTCCAAACACGCAGCTGTCGGCCGTCCTGGCTGGCCAGGCTTTGCCTTAGGTATGTGTCTTATGCCCAGCAACAGAACTGTAATAGATACCTTATGAAGATTACTTTTGTGGAAGGGTGTTTTGGCTTAAAAAAAGGCCTTGTCAGATCTGTCAGTGTAACTGTTTCTCTGCTCTGTCACTTCGGTCTGACTCAGCAGCACAAGTCCTGATTTAGACATGTGAGTCCCTGCAGTGACTCAGCTTGGAGGCTTTAATCAGCAGCTGAAAAAATGTTTGAAGCA